CTATCACCCTGAGGCCCCCCATGTCTGTGTCTTTTCTCACGGGGACACCGGTGGTCGGCTTTGGGCCCCACCTGGGCAGTCCGGGACACTCACCTTGAGACTTCGACTTAATCACATGTGCAGGAACCTTTTCCAAAGGAGGGTCATCTCACAGGTTCTGGTGTAGGACGTGGACTTATTGTTTTGGGGGCTCATCTTCAGTGCACCACAGTTGACTACATCGAGGTCTGCCTCTGATCTTGTGGGAGTGCTGGGTGATCTGTCCCCACCAGCAATGTGTGGGTAGGCTCTGCCCCAGGAAACGCTCTCTGCCCAGGCCCCCGCCCCGCGGGAGGTTCGTGCTGCCAGTGGCGTTGGTTACTGGGACCATGTGCTGGGCCAGCACCTGTCAGGACAGACGGCAGGCGGCTCTTCTGTAGGTTCTTCTGGCTGGGACAGGCCCAGCCGGCGCTCAGTGTAAATGAGACTGACGCCCCTTTTGGACCGACCCCTCTAAGTAGGGAGGCCTGGGTGTGCAGCCTCCCCGCAGAGTTGAGGAGACGTGGCCTGTTTCCCACCAGTCCACCACTCTGCCGGCCACCACCAGGACACGTGGCCCAGTTGCCATTGTCACCACCCTGCTGGCCACCACTGGAACACGTGGCCCGGTTCCTGCTGTCGCCATCCCACCGGCTTCATCTTGAACGGCATCCCTTCTGCAGTCGCTTGTCCTTAGTGTTCCAGCCATACCCCAACCGATGCAAGCCCCGGAACCTCCGTCAGCCCCGTCCGGGAGAGCGCCTCCCCTGCGTCCGTGCTGTGCTGGTTGAAAGCGAGATCCTCCAGCCTTTGGCCTCTCCGGACCTAGCCCCAGCTGCAGGCCCCAGCCATGGTGGTCCCTTTGGGAGGCATGGTCCAGGAGGTGATGGGCAGCTGGAGAACCCCCATGGCTGGAGGCTGCTGCACCTGGCAGGGAGGGTACTGGGCAAAGGGGCGTGGGGTGGAAAGGGGTGGGTGTCCAGAAAGTTCCTGGGGCTCCACCAACAAGAATGTTGCCATTACCTTGAGGGAATGGCCCGTTTAGTGGTGCCTTTTCTTTACCTGTAAAACGGGGTGATTATAAATAATATCATGTTTGTAAAAGTGCTTAGGATCAGACTCCCCTTAGAGTGAGTGTTAATACCCGTCTCAAAGGACAGTAGGTGGATGTGGCAGGGAGGGAGATGTCAAGACAACAGCCAGGGCCCTTTCTGCCACTTCTCCTGGTGGGTGGTGGGCAGTCCCCTGAACCCCGGCAGTAAGAGAGGGACCTCCCAACACCCTGGCCCCTCTGTGTTGGCTCCAGGGGATTCCTGGAGGAGAAGGTGCTGTTTCTAGATGGCTGAGCCCGTCATGTGGAGGGAAGGGGGATGCTGTAGGCGGCAGTCCCAGTCTTCCTTTGGGTGGAGTCGCTGCTGCTGCTGCTCCAGTCCGGAGGCTCTGGGGCTCCTGGGTGGGTCGCCTCAGGCCTGGGCAGCATCCATGGGACAAGGTGGTCCCCCGTCAGGCCCCATTGGCCTCCCTGTGGTGTGTGGTGGAGACTCAGGGTGCCCGCCCTGTGGAGGAGGTGCCGGAGGAAGCCTGGCTTTGCACCCAGACCCTGCTGAGGGCAGCGCTGGGTGGTCTGCTGGACCAGGCCTACAAAGTCCTTAGAGTCCATGGAGGAAATACAAACTCCGCCGGGCCGGGCAGCCGCAGACCCCACTTAGCAGCTGGTTCCTTGGGGTCATCAGAGCCAGTGCTGGCTGCCCCATGCATTTCCTGTTGTTGGTCTCTGCCCGTCCACAGCACAGACAGCGTCCCTGGGCAGCGGAACCCTGCTCCAGCCTGCACCCTGGGTAGAGGTGTCCTCCATGCCACATTCCGCCGGTAGCAGGCAGCCCCACCCTACTGTAGCCCATCTTGTCACTTAGGGTGGTCCCGGTAGTGGGTTCTGGAGCCTGGAACGCTCGGGCCAGGCAGCTGGGACCCTCCCGAGCCTCACCCCTTGGGTCTGTTGGGGCCCCTGGGGTTTGACCGGGAGGACACCTCGACTGTTGCCTTTGCCTCTGGGTATATCCCCTGCTGAGCCCCTGAACCCAGCTCCAAGGCCATTTCTACTTGGCAAGAAGGAGGTTTTCATGACCAGGGATGTTAATAGCGGGTTCCTGGACGCAAGGGTGGCAAAGTCGCCTTGGCCTGTGTTGGGGGAGTGGAGGAGCCTGGGCTCTCCCGTGCTGGTGGTCCTGGGGCAGATAACAGGGGAAGGGGCTGGAGCCACATGGGTGGAGCCATGGGGGGGCGTGGAGGGGCCCTTCCTGACCCCACAGTAGGGGCCGGGGTGGGGCTGGCGGGGGACAGTCCTCAGTTGCAGGGGCCAGGGTGGGCCAAGAAGAGGAAGGGGCTCTCGGGGCGCTGGGCCTTCTGGCCGTAGTGTCTCACTCGGGGCAATGGCGGAATCCCCGGATCCATCCCCCGGCCCGTGTGCCTCCCGTCCTCATAGCCCTGCAGGCTGGGGCAGAGAGGGGTCCTTGGCGGGGACACCATCCCCACAGGGACATGAAGGGTGCTGGACCCGGGGCTGCCATGGAGTCGCCTGCTGGGAGCAGCCAGTGCACCCAGGTGTGTGACCTGGGCGGTGCTGGGGCCGAATGCCCAGGTGGGCGCCTGTGCTGCCGGGTTCAAACCCCACCGGCAGGGAGCCTGCGCTGTGACTTTGGGCAAGTAGGTGGGGCTCCCCGTGCCTCAGTTTCCTCTTCTGTAAAAGGGGCTTTGTGAAGCTCAACAGAGTTTAGAGGAGCTCCTGGAACATGGTAAGTGCTCAGTGAGGAGGCTGCCTTGCCGCCTCTCCCACCCAGGGAGGGTCAAGTGGGAGGAGAGCGGCCCCACCAAGCGTGTTCCAGGCCCCCGCGGTGTCTGAGAGGAGGCAGCCAAGCCTAGTGAGGACGCTACTGGTGTCCTCCAGGCCTAGGTGGGCGGGTTACCACGGAAGCCTGTCAGCGGACGCCTGTGATTCCCTGGTATTTATAGGTATGTCTGTTGTTTTATTAAAAAATCCAGTTTCATTCAGCTTTGTCTCAAATTATTTGCAACAAACTGGAAAAGCTAGTTTTCCCCCTAAAATAGGCTTCTAATAAAATTGACAATCTGCCTGCTGAGCCTGAATGTTCTAGAGTTCTGCAAAACTGGGTATTTTGGGATGGATTAGGAGAAAGGAGTTGGCTGAAGGACAGTGGTCGTGATGCTGAGCCGGCCGTCTGTGTGAAGTTTACATTGGATCAGGATAAATGCGTATTTCCTATGGGAGCCCAGTGTGGCTGTGGTGTTCGGTGGTCTGATGATTTTATAGCCCTAGCCAGGGGTCTGCGAGCTGCTTCTGTCCAGGGCCACGTAGTTGAAGCCTGGGGTTCTGAGCAGGCGTGGGCGGCGCCCGAGGAGGTGCATGGCCGTGTCCCAGTGAAACTTCATGCATGCTGAAATCCGAATTTTATAGACTCTTTTCCTGTGTTTCAAAATATTCTCCTTTTCATTTTATTCAGCCAATTAAAAGCGTAGATATCCTAGCTTGAGTGATTTGGAGCACCAGGCATCGTAGGTTGCTAGCCCTCGTTCCCCGTAGATTTGGGGACTTGAGTGAGACACACGTTAGGTTTATGTGTTTCACATTTTACAGAATGCCCCTCACATAGCTGGTCAGCCGCCTGACGAGGGAAGCTTGGCCTTTTGGAGAAGTGGCCGTGCCTCGTGGTGAGCTGCTGACAGAGCTGGAATTTGAACCCTGGGCTTTGGCCCGGGTTCCACTGCGTGAATGCAGATAAACACGGGTTTATGAGCTTGATGATTTAAATGGAGGCTTTATTCCTGTTCAGGCAGGTACGGGAGGCCAGTGATCAGGAGACGATGCTGTCGAGAAGGTCGTTTATTACTCAGCTCCCGAGAGGAGGCCTCCTCATGCCTTGCAGGGCCGTGCGGGGAAGTGCCGAGTGGGTTAGAGGCAGGGGGCTGTGTGAGTGGGGGCCTTTACTGTGGTTTCCGTGGGAAAGTCGGGGGGAGTAGGCATTGGGTCGGCCAGGTGGAGTAACTTCAGCGGGCTCTGGGGTGCAGGGGCTGTCCCTGTGATGTGGGGAGGCCCCCAGGACGACTGGGGGCCCAAGTAGGAGGTGGGCCCAGGTGAGGGTTCTGGATTGATGGGTTTGCATTTGAAAGGTTCACTGTGGGATGAGTCATTTGCTGTCTCTAGGAATCGGTTGGCCCCTCAAGGGTTCGTCCTTCCAGAGTCAGCAGGGCCACAGGTGCTGGAGCATTGAGGGCACAGCACATAAGCATGCAGGGAGCGTGTGGTGTGACTGGTCAGAGCCAGAGGTCTGCAGTACCCTCCCCTCTGTCCCTGCACCCCCAGCGCGAAGCCTGGCCCATGTGGGGTCAGCACAGGTGCCGAGTGGGATTGGGGTAGCGGGCAGAATTCCCAGCCGAGCACCCTGCCGCCCCATATGTTTTTATGACTGTAGAAAAATGCCAGCTCTCATTTTCCAGTGATGCCGAGGTCCCAGGGTTTGTCAGGGAACCAGGGCGGGGGTTGGAGGGTCAGGCCACCCAGCAGCGGTGGCGGCTCTGGGTCTGCCCAGGAGCCCGGGCTGGCCACAGCCAGGCACAGCACAGCACAGCACGTGAGGTCCAGCCTCGGAAATGGGGGTGTCTCCTGCCTTAGGCTGGGGGTATGCATTTCCAGTCCAGCTGGGACAGTTTTCAGCCTGGCGAAGCTTGGCCTTTCCTGTTCCTGCACCGTCTGCCCACCGTCCCTGCAGACACTGGTGGGGTTCCTGGGGTGGACACAACCACATCGCAAGGCCCCCATGCCTCCTCTCCTCCCCTCCGTTCCGAGGCCGCAGGACAGTGCTCGGGACCCTTGGCCATTGGCGTCGAGCCCATTCACAGCCTCTGGATGCAGGTCAGAGGTCACTGGCCCCGGCCACAGCTGCACTGTCCCCCACTCCCAGCCTGGCAGGCCGACCTGCAGTACCCCAGGCTCAGCTGGGTTCTGTTCCCATGTTGCATTTTCAAGGTCCGCTGAGTCCGAGCCCTGCCTGGGTCTGGCTGCTGCCCGCACGCTCTCTGTGCTGTGCTGATGCAGAGATGCTTGTTTTCCTGTGACGTCAGCGTCAGCTCCTCCACATCCATGCCGTGTTTTAGTTTGTGCCTCAGCTGCTGGCTACAGCTTCCCGGGGGAGCCGGGTACCACCCGGGCCTGGAGACATGAGGAGGCAGGGATGTGAGGGGCGGGGGACAGGACAGCCGGCCTTCCGTTAAATATCTGCTCCTCGCGCTCGAGCCTCCCTGCCTATTGTCGGGCTGGAGGCGAGCCGACACAGCGCCAGCTCGTCAAAGGGAAGGAAGATGCCTCCCTGCACGCCCGCCACGCACAGAGAATAAAGAACCTGCGCTGAGGAGGCAGGAGAAGAAAGCCGGTGAGTCGGGGGCATCTCCCCTGTGGATTGTCCGCGCCCCCGGGGCTGGGCCAGCCGTGCTGCAGGCCGTGCGTGCGGAGGATGGTGCCCGAGTCAGCATTCTGGGTCTGAGTCCCGTCGTTGCCGCCGCCTGTGCGCTGCACAGATGCTCCGGGCAGCAACACGGCTGGTACCCGGCCCGGGGAAGGCGTGCGGCTGCAGCAGCTCCCGGCGATGTCGGGGGAAACGCAGTGAGAGGCTGTTGTTTTGCGGGTGACAGATTTTTAGAAACATAAGGCGGTGGAGGGACCTTCCGAGCGAGGCAGGGGCTGCTGGAGGGACATGCTCACCCCGAGGACGGATGGTGTGTGGCCCAGGCCTGGTGGATGCGTGGCGGTGGCTGCGGAGGGCTGGGGGCCGGGGGGCTCGGGGAAGTCATTTTGGGCTCGTCTGCCTGCCTGGCCCTGGGGAGTCGCTGGTTGTTGGGAGTTTCGCTGTAGCTGATGCTGTTTGGTTGTGTGTCTGTGAGTCTGTGGCAGGGCCAGGACGGATGGGTACGTCTGCCGCTTCCTCTCCGTTCTGCAGGTGGGCAGATTGATGAGACCACAGGGGTGAAGTCTGGAGACCCCAGGTGCCAGGACTGGTGGCGGTAACAGCCGGCACCTGTTCCAGGCTTGCAGTGTTTCTGTCTGGAGCCTGCCCTCCCGCCTGTCTGAACCCCCGTTTTGCGTTGACAGTGTTGGGTCGGCGTCTGGGTGGCACGGCCAGGGTTAATGTGCACAGCTCACTCCATCGGGGTCCTCGGATGGTGGCGAGGAGTGGGGCTGCGGCGTCCTGTTTTCTGTTCTGAGATGGTTGGAGGCAGACTCAGAGAGGTCTGGGGGCTGCACGGTGTTTGGCAGGGACGTGGCAATGTGGGTGCTTTTCTGACGACCATTTTGAAAGGTGTTTTTGTAAAACAACAACAACAACAACAACCAGCATCCCCAGTCAGGCTTGTGGGGAGCTGTGGGCCTGGGGGACTGGGCCACTGGGGAAGGCGGCTTTCCCCCTCGTGGGGTGCTGGGTGCTGGGGAGGCTGGCAGCACGCCCCTCCCCCAGGCGCGAAGGGACCTCAGCAGACACGGGGCCGCTCTGCACAGCCAGCTTGGGCCGCAGGGGTCCTTGAATGATGAAGATTCTGTGTTGATGGGGTGAGTGGGAGAGAGAAGGAGCTGGGTGGTTTTCACACGTGCGCCTGCCTGCGAGGAGAAACGTGCTGCGTCATGGTTTCCTCGCTGCCTGGGACGGCTTGGCCTCTGCTTTCGTGTGAGCCCACGCTGGCCGTGCACAGCTGGCACGATCCCTCGTGGTGGGAATACAGTGCTGGGTGGGAGGGCTGTGGCCAGGGTCAGGATTCGAGCGGTTACTGGGTTTTGGTCTGATGGCCTTCGGTGGGTGAGTCAGAGCCAGGATGGGGACAGACGCGGGGGGCCGCAGGCTGCCCCTGCAAGCTGTTTCGTGTTGATGCGGCCGGAGCCGGCTGTGGTACCCGTGTCTGTGTCTCGGCCAGATCGGCACACATCTTCCACATTCCTGTCCCAGCTGCATCAGCCATCAGTGGGGGCCCTTCTCCGACTGTCTTCCTAGACTTCGGAGCCACTGGTGGTTATGTAAGGAGTTGTGTGTTCCTCTGGCCAACTCCAAGCTTGGTCCCACCTCCCAGACTTACCTCTGGGCTCGGGGCTCTGCTGCGATATTTCCGAGGCTCCCAGTTAATCAGATCCGTCGGCCCAGAGTGTCCACAGGGCGCCTGAGAGCCCGGCCCATCCACACTGGGTGCCCCGGACCTTCTGCGGGGTCTGGTGGGGACCTGCCACGGCTGTCGATGACCCCAGTGGAGAGGCCCACTGAGCATCCTCAGAAGTTCCTGTGTTTGTGACCTGCTCTCGTGTGTAGCGGTGGGGGCTGTGTCTCATCTGCCGGACGTTTCTGATCACCGAGGACTCAGCCGGGCACGTGGAGGTTGAACCATCGGGGGGCTGGGGGACCGTCCATGGGGTCAGGCACCAGCCTCTGCTGAGGACCCCAAAATTGGCGTAACCGTCCTTTCCTGTGCTGATGTGGAGCTTTGCCCAGGAGCCGGGCAGGGAGCTGTTGCAGGGCCAGGCCCCTGAATGGGCTGTTTGGGGCCGGGGCTGAGGGGGTGCCCAGTGCCATCAAGGGGAAGCCTGTGGGGAAGTGTGAGGACATCTGGAAAACCAGTAGCAGGTCCCTGGCTGTGCTGGTCATGGTGCTTGAGTGTGGGCTCGGCAGGTCTGGTCTCCTGGCGCCCACTCACTCCCCGGCCATCTCCCCGCCTCCCACATGTGGCAGGGGGAGCAGAACGTGCGGCCACCGCTCCTACCAACCCTCACGCCACAGGCTGGACAGGCACCCTGAGGCGTCCCCACCTCCCAGCCCCTGGGGTCGGCACGATGCTGGGCCTCCAGAAGTGTTTGTCGTTTTATGCAAAGGGCAGAAAAAGCTTTGTTCAGGCCAGGCGCGGTGGCTCACGTCTGTAATCCCAGCACTTTGGGAGGCTGAGGTGGGGGATCACCTGAGGTCAGGAGTTCAAGACCAGCCTGGCCAACATGGTGAAACCCCATCTCTACTAAAAATACAAAAATTAGCCGGGCGTGGCGGCGGGCACCTGTAATCCCAGTCATTCGGGAGGCTGAGGCAGGAGAATCGCTTGAACCCGGGAGGTGTGGGTTGCAGTGAGTTGAGATTGCGCCACTGCACTCCAGCCTGGGCAACAGAGTGAGACTCCATCTCAAAAAAAAAAAAAAAAGGAAAAGCTTTATTCAAAAGAAGCCACCTGAACCAGTCGGTCGTCCAGTGTTCAACTTGTGTTTGGTCATGAAGTGACGGCAGTTGTTACTCATACAGGAGATGCTGTGGCAGAGTCCCCTCCGCACATCAGGGCCCAGCGGCACATTTCTGGGATTCTCCTGAACACGCGAAGGAGGGCACCCGCCACGCTCAGGACTGGGTGCTTCTCTGTGAGGCCTCCAGGCAGAACCAGTGATTCCACCGTCTCCGGGCAGCCTTGGTGGGCCCACAGGTCTGTTGTTCCCCCTGAGAGAGGATCAGAGTCAGGAGAGGCGCGACGCCAAGTTGACGCGAACAGATCTCTGCTGCTGGTTGTTCCGGCGGTGCTGTGAGCACGTCTGCCGGGTGTGAGGGCACGGGGGTGTTGTTTCATCCACGCTCACATATCGGGTGCACAGGAAGAGTTTACACACGCTCTGGTGGGTGGAAGGGCCCTGACTTGATGTTGTCTTTAAATAGGGGGTTTGAGCGTGTTTGGTCTTTCTGAAGTTTTCTTTTTTAACGTGTCTTCTGTGGGAGGTTTGAAAAGATTCGACCGACTGCAAGACGGAGCCGCCCTGCGTCTGGAGGGGCTGTGGGGACCCAGGGTAGACTGGCGGCTCGGCGTGGGCCCGGATGGCTTCCTCTGTTTGCTCCTCACCACACCTCGATTGTTGAGAGAATCTCATGCGGCTGTATCAGGTGTACACAGGCCGGGCCTGGTGTCTTGTCCTGGTGAGGAAATTGCGGTGTTGCCCTTGCTGAATGGTTGTGTGTAAAGTTTGCATTGTACATTCTATTTAAAATTTTATTTTGAGTTTTCCCGATTTTCTATTGTAAGGTGTTGATAGTCCTGTGGGACTCACAAAGAGTGAACATGTGTCCCTGGTCCTCCCTGCTGCCCCGGCCCCACCCCCTGGAGGGGATCAGAGCAGTTTCTTCTTGACATTTATTTCCAGATTTCTAAATGACACATTTCTGCTGCTATTTCTAGACTTTTCCATTTAGGATGTTACTTCCCCACTTTCTCTGGGACACTTCAGCCTATCTCTTCCTTGTTCCATCCTCCTGATGGAGTTATGTTACCGTTTATTGTTTTCAGTCGTTGAGTGTTTACCTAATTGTGGGTGATGTGAATATTCATGAACTACCAGGATTGCAGTCCCTTGTTTGCACAACTTTTGGGTTTCCTTGGACTTAATACATCGTGATTGTTTAAATCAGTTTTCTAGATGTCTTGTCTCACATTTACTCCAGTTTTCTCTTCCCAGCAGAGGGGCAGCGCCCGCCGATGCCTGTGTCACCTCCCTCCTGGTGCCCCCCGGCCCCCACACAGCATGCCGTAGGGCTTCCCTGTGCCCCGAGCTGGGAACAGCTCCCTCCTCTCTCCTCTGCCTACAGTCTTGATCTCTGGCTCCCTGTCTTCATCTTTGTTGGCTTAATCTCCAGTTAAGACCTCTCCAGCAGCTTTCTGAGAAAGACAGCGTGGGAGACCCTTTTGGGGGATCTAGTTGGAAAATGCTTTTCCTCCAGCCACACACTTAAGGATAGTTTAGCTAGGTATGAAATTCTGTGTTGGAAAGAATTTTCCCTTTGCATTTGGAAGGGATTGCTCCACTGTCTTCTGGCTGCTTGTGTGACCAGGAAGTCAGGTGCCATTTTGATTTTGTGTGTGTGTTTTTTTGTCCTGAAAGTCTTGTAGAATCTTTTGTCTTCAGGGTTCTCAAGTTTCACAATAATGTTCATTGTCTCTTGTGCTGGGAACTCGTGCTGTGGAAACTTGCAACATTTGGACGTGGGGAGCTTTACACCCAGTGATTTATCCCACGGCCGACTCCCCGTCTCTGACTGTTTTTTAGAGTTGACACTGATTGTTTGTTGGCCCTCCCAGGCTGGTCCTTTAATTCTCTTCTGTTTTCCATTTCTTTGTTTATTTTATATTCTAGGAGGTATTTTCAGATTTTCCTGTCCAAACTATCTATTAAGTTTGTCACCTTGTTCCTGTTCTTACCTTTCGTTCTTTTTTCTCTGAAGGTGTCTTTTTAAGGCAGAGTGTCCTGCCCTTGTGTCAAAGGCATAGCACACTCTTTCTCTGGGGTTATTCATCTCAGCTGAGAGGCACCGGGGTATCATGTGGTGATTCAGCAGTGCCTAGCACATTCACGGCTGCAGAGGCTTCCTGTGTGTAA